GGGGGAACGTTCATCTGGGCTGGACGTACAGAGTCATGGGCTGTGGGCCTGGGGCATTATTGTCTCTTCTACTCCCCCCACCCCCAAGTGAACTGAATGAATTTCCAAGTGCAGAAATGAGGGACATGCAAAAATAGTCCAGCTGGCTGGCCAGATGTGCTGGTGAGCAGGGCAGGGCTCAGCCAGGGGGAGTGTCTGGGAGCAGAGTGGACCACACCAGGAGGTGGGTGCGGGCAGAGCTGGTCTTTTCATGGTGATGGGTGGCAGGGGGCAGGCAAGGAGTGCTTGGGAACTGACTATACACACTGCACATAAATACAAGGCACTGTTGGCCCTGGGCCACCCGCATCCTTCACTCATTCAACAAACATGCATTGAGTCCCCACTTTGTGCTAGCTGTACTTAGAACACTGGAGTTTGTCCTTAAGGAGCTCACAGCAACCATGGGGGTGAGGCACAGGCATATAAATACCCTCCAAACCCTGATGGCAGCAGAGGAAGTAGCATTAATTCTGCCAGATTGGGATGAGGGGGGTGAGGGGGAAAGAGGGGCATTTAACTTGGTTCCTGAAGACAGGCAGAAAAGGAGGGAGGTATGGCTGGGCTCAGGGGCCTGGGCTGCAGACAGGCTGACAAATCAGGTTGGCCCCACATAGTCGTGACCTTTCCCCCTTTCCCACATGCTTGATTCTCGGGACCTCACCAGCCTCTTATTCTCTATCTGCTCCCATAGCAAGAGCTCAGGTTGGGGGTCCCCTGACACTTCGCTCCCTAAGGCGAGAGCACCCCATACCCGGGGTGGGGTGGGGTGGGCTCCTGGGGAGCTTGGTGATTCTAAACTAAAGTCAAAACCAGACCCACCCTAGCTCCACCCCTTCAGTTAAAGAAGTGCCAGTTTCCACCTCTGGGTTCTTGGCCGACGGGAGCCCTGCTGCATCATGGTCACAAACAGCTGGCAAGGAAACAACAGTCTAAGTGACTTAATTAATGACTTAATTTAGGCTCCTAATGAAACCTAGCAGCTGTTCCACATGTGTGGTTCCTTCTCCCAGACAGACTTTCTTGTCCTTCTTTGTATTCATCTCCCTCTTATTTAATTTCCACTTGCCTGGTGGGTGGACAGCCCCTCTAAGCAGTCAGAAAAGTGGGGCTTCCTCAGACCCTCTGAATAGCACAGCTGGAAGGAGTCAAAGGATCCCCAGCTTGGCCCTGTGGAGAACTGAGGGAGCCGAGGCTGGGGGGTGAGAGGAGTCCCCCTGTGGCCAGAGTTACACTGCCGATTAGTGGCAGGTCAGGGACCTGGTCTCTTGTCTCCACAGCACCCAACAAGATTTTGATTGGCTGATATAACACCAGCAACAATCAATAATGATGACTTACTAAATGTAAGTAGGCACTGCACTATGTGCATTAATTAATTTAATGTTTAACATAATCCCATGATCGGATTATTACCCCTTTTACAGAAGACGAAATTGAGGCACAAAACTAGAAAGTGGAGAGAGATGTGCAGAGTGGGTGCAGATGTTTTAGTCTTCTCTGGGCAGTTCTAGTTTGGGCTTCTTGTAACTTCCTTCAGCATTGTGGCCCTTGGTTGAAGCTAAGAATGAGGGAAACTTCCCTGGCCAGGGACCCCAGGGTGCTGCAGGAGGCAGCAGGGCCAGTGCGCTCTGATCCTGGCAGGATCCTGGGTTGGGAGGACCATGGTAGCTGTCACCACCAACATACCAAACTGCTGGGGGAACCCTCTGGGGGGAGCACACTTTTCCCCTGGTCCTCCATCTCCTTGACTTTGAGGCCAGGGATCTGGCAGCTGCTGGTGCTGTAGGGAGACACAGGCTGGCCTGTGGCCTCTGGGTGACCACCAGCTTCTTTTATGTCAGTGCATTTGTTGTGTGTGGGTACACGAATGCAGGCAACTCTTTTGGCAAATCTAATATAGGGTTAGATTGCTAACTATAGCATCATGTGGATGGTGCTACAGGCAGAATTTACAATCCCAGCACTAAGAATTCCTACTCTTTATGCCCTGAGATATGTTTTCCTAAATACCTCTGTATTACATGCATTATATGGATTAGTCAGGGCTCCATTCATAACCTTCAGCAGGTGGCTTGGCTTTCTCCTTATTCTCTGTATCTATACATGCACAGAGTCTTGGAAGGTTCTGCCTGTAGATGGATATCACCCTTTGCTATGTTTTTCCTCAGTCCTGTTTTTAAATTGCAGTCTGACCCATGAAATGAGGACTCTCCCAGTACTTTTAACAAGAATCAGTGAACAAACAGAACAGTACTAGTCAGCAGGTTAGAGGATCTGGGTGTGAACACCAGCTGACCCCTACACTGGTGTGACCCTGGGAAAGTCACATGACCTCTCGGGCCTCAGCTTCCTGCTCTGTATAATGGAGCTGATGGAGGTCCAGCTTTGTCTCTCTTGCAGAGAGGCTTGTGAGGGATGGGGAATTTGCAAGAACTGTTTGCACTGTAATTTTACATCCTTAGTGTTATACAAGGGTGGAGGGGTTATTACAACCAGCTCCCTAAGTGCTTTTCAAATGAAGGACAATAGGTGGGTAACCCTATAGAATACATAAGCCAGAGGCCACGTATCTGATAGTTGGAGACACAGTCTACCTCCTGCTAGTGGACTCTACCCAGATGTCCACCACAGGAGACCCTGTCCGCAGGTGGCCATGAAGAATCCACCTGCAGAAAGCCAAGACCTTTCCTTAACAAAGTAGATTGGTTCAAATAGGAAAGTCATTTTAAAAGAAGGAGGGAGGTACAAATATTAATAATATGTAACTAAGGTTAAGATTAAGATAAGCTTCAAAATCATGAGAGCCTATCATATAACCAGTGGTGGGATGAGGCTAGGTAAAAATTGTACAGAATTATATTCTCTATAGAATTACAAAGTAATAAATTTGCATTATACATTGGAAAGCAACTGACAGTTGAAGGGGATCTTTTCCAAGGGTTATTCTAGAAACAGTACAGTTGAAACCAGTAAAGAGCCCCCTAGGTTTCTACTTACCATGTTTAGGTCTGAACCTATGAAAGTATATTCAGACATTATTTTTCTTAGTCTTCTCTTTCTTTTCATTCATCAGCATCTTACTTTCTAAGCTCTGATTCACCCAAAATGTCCCTAAATTGCAATTTTGGTATAACCTCCTGCTGGATGTCTTGGTCCATGGTTCATTTGAAAGGCTTCTAAACTCTCCTGTGTTGACCACCCGAAATTTTCTAGTTTGTAATGGCATCTTGCTTGAAAGTGTGACAAAAATCACTTTAGTTAGATAACTCTTTCTTGAAAGGTAGATGTAGCTGAATATTATCACTCATTTGTATTTGGGTGTGAATTAAAACAGATAATTTCCTGTTTTTCTAACCTTTTAAAATTAAAGTTTAATAACATTGCAGTAAAGTACAGACATCTTCAGTATACAGCTTAATGATCTCTTCTAAAGAATATATCCATTTAAGGCTATGTATTTCCCTCTGAGTACTGCTTTGGCTGCTTTCTGAACATTATGATCTCTTATATTTTCAGTATTCATTTCAATGTATTTTCTAATTCTTATTGCAATTTATTTCTTAATCTAAGATAAAATGTGTATCGCTTTATTTTCAAACATTTTGGGAATATTTTAGTTGTCTTTTTCTTGTTGATTTCTGGCTTGATTCTACTGTGGCTGGACAATATACTCTGTATGATTTCAGTCCTTTGAAATTTGTTGAGATTTGCTTTATAGCCCAGAAAATAATTATTTCAGTGAACCCATGTACATTGAAAATAATGTGTATTCTTTTTGTTAATCATGTTATTAAAACATATATTCCTACTGAAAAAAAAGATAAGAAGGGGAGAAGGCAAGGGTTATAGTGAACATTAAGCACCTCATCTCAGTCCTCAACACAGTAAGGTGCTGCAAAAGGAGCAGTGGGGTGGGAGTGGGTGCTCAAAGGCAGGGATGCAGCCTAGGAACCCCTGGGTGGGTGGTTGGGTGGGACTCCATGAAGCTGCATTTCAGGGCCTCTGCCATCAAAGCAGGGCTAATGAGGTCATTAATCCCAGAGGTGATGAATGTCACCCCTATCCATTCCCCCTCTGTGCTGACTTAAGGAGGACTGGACTTGTACCATGAAACCTGGGCTCTAGTTCCACTTCTGTTTCTAACTTGCTCTGTCACTTTGAGCCTCAATAAAACTATAATGAATCTATCTTCCTTGCTGGGTTGGGTAAAGATGTGACTCCATTCCAGGAGTTAGCCATGGCAAAGTAATTGCTGACCACTTCTGCATCAGGCAGTCTGGCTTCAAAGTCCCCCTGACTCTGCAGAGGACCATGTGTTCCAGTTTGCCCACAATACCAGTTTCTCCAGGGCAGTTCCAGTTTACATCTGTTGTCTTGGCATGATTATTATAGTGCCCCTTTTCACTTAAAAATATCCTAGTTTGGATGTTCTCCTGGCTCTTCACAACTATGTTATATTGCTTGTCAACAATGTTCAATGTTCCTCAAGCCTCTGAATCTTTCTGCTGCAACCCCTCCACAGGCTATAGGTTATACACACCCACTTCATGTTTTTACATGGAGTGCCATCAACTCCCATTAATTAAGCCTAAGGCATTTGCCTTAATTACATAATTTGCTAAAATCTGAGCTCAGTTCTATATCCTGAACATCTATCATAGCATCTGATGCATGGGTGTCAGTAGATGCTGAGTGAATGAATGAACGGATGAACATATGCACTAAAGAGCCATGTGAAAAAGCACCTGCACTCTTTAAGAGTTACGCAAATATTTCTCATACAGTTCCCAGGACAACTAAGTCAAAGATGATGAAAAGGAGAGAAGCAAAGCTCATAGCTTCTGTGCCCTGAACTTTGTGAACAGTTCTGTGTGGATGGTTTAGCACAGGCGTCAGCAATTCCCCCACAGGGCCTCCCAGGAAGTCTTGCACAAGTCAGCCCAGGAAGCTCCTGTTACCTTTTTCTCCCCGGAGCTTTTTCTGTCCTCTCCACATCGTCCTTTCTTTCCCCTCGTCTTTCAATTCCAGCCTCAGATGAAAAACATAGACCTATATCCATGGTACATCAAAGCAGAAAATCCTTTTGGAAATAATCCAAACGAGGCACAAATGAGATCAGGACAGTTGCACTGGTGGAAAATGCCTGGGGCACAGTCAGGGGCTTCCTAGAGGAGTCAGACCTCTGGAGGAATCACACAGGAGGGGCAGCTTTGACAGGTATTGACAATGAACATGTGTCTGCCCCTTCTCTGAGCCCCACATCCTCTTTTTCTTGCTCCAGTACTTAAAGATGGTTCCCAGCAGAGGCTGGGAAAGCCAGGAGCCCCAAAGCCCACCCCAGTGGGATCTCAGTGCTGAGAAACATAAGTGCCTTTCTCTCCCACCTCCTGCAGACACCCAGAATCACAGGCTGCAGAGCTGTGAGAGGTGGAGTGTGTGTGCATGCTGGGTCTGAAAGTAGCTGGCTGAATAAACAAATGCCAGATTCAAGGGATACAGGTCATTCTCTACCTCAGCCCCTGCACAACACCTCCTCCACTGTGGTCATGGCCAGTCCTCACAACCAATCAGTCTGAGGATCAATCCCTTCCATTGATGTGCAATCAGTGATCAAAGCTCAACTACAACAGAAGGGCACACACAACCTACAATAGTGACACACCTGGAGCACCTGGCTCTGGTGACCAGGGAGATTGCACCACTGAACCCCACAGGACACCTACTATATATGGTCACTCTACCAAGACTGGGAGACATAGCAGCTCTAACTAATACATAGAAACAAACACAGGGAGGCAGCCAGAATGGGGAGACAAAGAAACATGTCCAATAGAAAAGAACAGAACAAAGCTCTATAAAAAAGAACTAAACAAAATGGAGACAAACAATCCACCAGATGCAGAGTTCAAAACACTGGTTATAAGGATGCTCAATGATCTCAGTGAGAACTTCAGCAAAGAGAAAGGAAACATAAAAAAGAACCAGTCACAAATGAAAAATATAATAACTGAAGTACAGAATACATTAGATGGAATCTCAACAGATAAAATGAAGCAGAGGACTGAATCACTGATTTAGAAGCTAAAGTAACAGAAAACACCCAAACAGAACAGCAAAAAAGAATCCAAAAAAATGAGGATAGTTTAAGGAGCCTCTGGGTCAACATCAAGTGTACCAACAGTCACATCATAAGGGTACGAGAAGGAGAGAGAGTGCAAGGAATTCAAAACCTATTTAAAGAAATAATGACAGAAAACTTTCCTAACCTGGCAAAGGAAATAGACATAGAAATCCAGGAAGCTCAGAGATTTCCAAACAAGATGAACCCAATGAGGCCGACACCAAGACACATCATAGTTAAAATGACAAAAGTTAAAGACAAAGAAAGAATCTTAAAAGCAGCAAGGGAAAGGCAGTCAGCTACCTAAGGGTGTTCCGATAAGACTGTCAGCTGATTTCTCAACAGAAACTTTGTAGACCAGAAGAGATTGATAGAAAATATTCAAAGTGATGAAAAAAGCAAGGACCTAACCAAGATTACCCCACCCAGAAAAGCTATCATTTAGCATTGAAGGACAGATAAAGAGTTGTCCAGACAAGAGAAAGCTATAGGGGTTCATCACCACCAAACCAGTATTACAAGGAATCTCAGAGGGACTTCTTTAAGATGAAACAAAAAGATAAAAAATTTGAATAATAAAATGGCAATGACTACATATCTATTAATAGTTACTTTACATGTAAATACATTAAATGCTCCAATATATTAATTTGAGCATTTAATATATATAGGGTGGCTGAATGGATAAGAAAACACAACCCTTATATGTACTGCCTACAAGAGACTCACTTCAGATGGAAAGACACACAGATTGAAAGTTAAAAGACGGAAAAAGATATTTCATGGAAAAAAAAAAAAAAAGCTTGGGTAGCAACACTTATACCAGACAAAAAAGACTAAAAAAAAAAAAAAAAGCTACAACAAGAGACAAAGAAGGATCCAGTAATTCCACTTCTGGGTATTTATCCAAAGAAATCCAAAACACCAACTTGAAAAGACATACGTATCCATATGTACACTGCAGCAGTATTTACAATAGCTAAGATAGGGAAGCAACCTAAGTGTCCATCAATAGATGAATGGATAAAGAAGAAGTGGTACAATGAAATATCACTCAGCCATAAAAAAGAATGAAATCGGGCCGGCCGAGTGGCGCGATGGTTAAGAACTGGCTTGGGACGCCAGAGGGCCCTGGTTCGGATCCCACATATGAGGGCCAGTGACACTGCCCTGTGCAGCTAAGATGGTGAACAACAGCTCAACCTGGAGCTGGGCTGCCCTGAGTTGCTGGCAACGGCGTAGGCTGCAGCCCCTGCTGCAGTGGGTTGCCATGGTCTACCGTGTGTAGCCAGCAGCCAGCGTGAGCGGCCAGCAGCCGCAGTGAGCGGCCGTCCAGAAGCCGGCGACTGATCTGCCTCACCTGGGAAGAGCGCAATGATGGTGCCAACTTGGGCCAGTGAAGCAACGTCCTCCACAACTAGACTAAAGAACAAAATGACAGCAACTTGTCTGTTCCCCTTCCCCCAATTCCCCAGGACTGTTCCCATCCCCCCAATTCCCCAATAAAAATCTAAAAAAAAAAATAAAAAATGAAATCTTGCCATCTGCATCAACATGGATGGATCTAGAGGATATTATGCTAAGTGAAGTAAGTCAGACAGAGAAAGACAAATACCATATGATTTCACTTATATGTGGAATCTAGAAAAACAAAATAAATGAAGAAACAAACGCATAGATACAGTGAACATTTTTTTTTTTTTAGCTGAGCCTTCTTGCCACCTGTTGGCAGCTTAGCAGCAGCTCAGCTCAGGCCCGTGTGGGAACTGAACTGGCGACCCTCTTGCTCAGAGCTTGCACTCTTGAGAGAGCTCTTAACCAACTGAGCTACTCGGCCGGCCCTTACAGTGAACATTTTGATGGTTGCCAGATGGGAGGAGAGTTGGTGGGGGGGAGGATGAGTGACAAAGGGGAACGTATTAAGAAGTACAAATTGGTAATTGCAAAACTGGTAGTTACAAGATGGTCATGGGGATGTAAAGTACTGCATAGGGAATATAGTCAGTAATATTGTAACAACTATGTATGGTGACTCCATCCATCCACCTGTCTACTGCACAACCTTCAGGATTATGTTCAACTCTTTCTCAATGTCACCATTTCTCACAATACTGAATACTTTATCAAGGTGTCCCCTCCTGTAGCTCTCAATAGGCATCTTATGAATCCACTCATTCTGCTTTTCTCACTGCTACCGCCCATCCATAGGTCCACCCCTCATTTATTGAGGCACTGGCCTGGTTGGTTGTTCATGTATCTGTTTTCCCCTCTTAGATTAACTAATTAATTAATCCACTAATTCATTGAACATTTGAGGCATCACTATGTGGCATATGATGTGCTAGGTGTTGGAGATGTAAAACAAAAAGGATGAACAAAAAATAAAGGAAAGAATGAAACAGTCCCCAACTTCAAAGAGCCCTCAGCTGGGGAGATAAACACATCGACGACATCACTCCAACACAACGCATGAATGTGAGTCTGGTCTTCTCATTTTGGTTTGGGCGGTCACATACATGAAGGGAAAAGTGTCACCCGTACTGGCTGTTTGACTTGGGGTGGGTCATCTAATATACAATAAGAGGGCAAGGAGCCCCAGAAAGTGACCGCGCTTCCTGGGGATGATGGCAGGGACCGGCCAGGCTGGAGGAGAGGTGCTTGGGTGGGAGGAGGGCGCCCCCACAGACACCTTCATTATGGTGCATATTACTTCGTGCTTAAGTGCTTTCACAGCCTGCTCACTTGGAATCAAAAAGGTGCAGACATTCCTCCCAGGCAGCAGGAAATGAAAAAAAAAAAAAAAAGAAAAGCCTGAATGACACAAAAACTCATCTCCTCTCCCAGAGAGGAGGATTTGTACAATTTCTCATTTGCTTTCAAAATAGTGCCTGTCTTGTCTCTGGAGCAGGACACCATGGCTTAGCAGTAAGCCTAAAAGACCATTCCTTCCAAGGACTTACAATTTGGGGGCCCCTGAAAAATGTTACCCTATATGTACCAGGGTGCCATAGGTTTTAGCAGATACCTGAAGAGGTTTATAACTTCCCTTTAAGAAATAGGTAAGGTTCCTTTTGGGTAGTTACAGATGAGGCCCAGACTATCAATTCATGTCATAGGCACAGGTTCAGAGACCCCGTGGGCCCAGGGATGCCAGGAGAGGCAGAATGGGGGGCTAAAAGCCAGGTATCCGGGTATGCAGACCCTCAGTTTAGCTTGCTTTCTACCACAGCGCACAGACTACAGACCTGTGCACATGCATATACGGATGAGGGAAAGAACACGCATGCATCCAAATTTAAATTCCAATTTTCACTGTGGGACTTGGATGTAAATCTGTTAGGTCTTAAGTCCAGGAGGTGATGTAATTTACTGAAGAGGGTTTGGAAGCTGCTAAGCTCCCTGATAAATAAACCATGTTTCCTCACCTCAGGTCTGTGAAAACATATTTTCTAGCGACTTAGAACCTCCTTGGAAAGTATTAGAATTTTCTCCCTACAGGAGAGCCAAGCACACAGATACTTGTCTTTTGAAAGGTACTTGACCTTTCTGGGCAAGGAAATAATGCACTCACATGGCAACTAACCAATAACCCTGCTCTGTTACCTTAATTCTTTCTCAACATGAATACTTCGGTTCCATGAGTTATAGAGGGAGGATGTTATAGAAACGGACTTGGCATCAGAGCATCCTAGATGTGCCCACATTGGCTCCCTAACCATGTACTAATTATATCATCAGCATGATCATCACCACTCATTGTTCCCAAGGTTTGGGAAGCCACAACTTGCAGATGGAGAAAAAACTTTAGAAATCAGTCCACTCCCATATGTTGGCCAGAGAGACCCAGAGGGTGGACGCCATTTCTCTATTCTCACTGAGTAAGGCTGAGAAGAGCTGCAACTCAAACCCTTATATCTGGTTTTCAGCCCAGGGCTCCAGGTTTGCGGGGGCTGCAGACT